CTTCAACCTTCCTTCACTGCAATTGTACTTGTAAGTGATAAAGTCCATTCACATTAAGTAACTTCAGTGTATTAAGTTCCCAAAAATCTAATATGAATTTAGAAAAACATAGCAACTTTAGTACAAAGATAGGTAATGGAATATGTTGCTGGGATGCAGTTTAGTGGAAAATGAAGGCAGTTACTGTTGCATAAGGGGGTAACTACAGAAGGTTTTGTGGCAAGTAAAATAAAGGGGATGCTGAACATTTAAATTCCTGTGTGAAGATCTAGGCCCATTCCCCAGGAAAGTGATGAAAAAGTATAAAGCTTGTCACATGAAAATGCTTCAAAAATAATCTGAAGTAATATTCTGCCAATGTAATTAAATATTCTGAGCCCAAAACCTTCCAGCTCTGGAAAAGATGGTGTAAATATAAATATAGTATATATATATATATGTTCTGTGCTCTCTCTCTCTGTATGTGTGTGTATACATATATATATGTATACACACATATGTACATATATTTATGTATATACACATATATATGTAATATATGTACATATACATATACATGTGTATATGTATGTAAGATATATGTATATATGTAAATCTGATAGCAATTTCTATAGACAGTTATGTAACTTTGATTTAAATAAGTGGTCCACTGGATTGATTTCATGTACCTGGAACAATTTCAGGATATGTTAGGTGTCAACCATATATCAGATATTATTATTCTCTTTAAAATAATTACAATCTAACTGGAGAAAGAAATTAAAAATATACATATTAAGAGCTAAAGAGCAGCACTGTTTTCAATGAAGAATTAAGGTAATGGTTAAGAGATGCCATTTTATTAAAATCAGTTACACATATGATAACTATTACATAAGAATTCAGAGGATGAAAAGATATCTTCTGTTGAAGAAAGACTATCCTGAAGAGGTGGGGCTAAAAATGAATCCTGTGGAAATTTTGTTGGAAATGAGAGCAGAGAAAGTGTTCTAAGTAAATATAATATTAAAAACTAGCCTTCATGGGAGTGATGTCAGAGTAAAGACCTCTGAAAACCCTTTCCTCTGTAAAAGAAATAAGAACATTGGCAAAAATTATCAGAATTAAAAATGGTCACACTTTTTCAAAACTCTAGGAATTAAGCAAAAAGTTACAGTGATCCAGGGAGTGTTTACTCCAGAAGAGAGGTTCGATCAGAGTAAGAACAGGGAGCTCTGTGGCGTTTGAACTCGTCCTCTGTTACTGCCACTCCCCACCCAGCCCCTGGCCTGAGCTCCGCAGCCCCCGTGACGACCGCACGGCAGCCGCTGCAGGAGGCAGATGATGGAGACTCTTCAGAGCTCCATTCCCAGAAAGTTGGACAAGACTGCCCTTATTTGACGGGACTTACAGCTTGCCCAGTGTAAACAGCTTTTTCCTCAGGAGTGTTGGTAAAATCAAACAGCAGCAGTGGTTTAATATTGTGGCTTCCTGAGGCAGTGGAAAGCATTTACCATAAACAATGGACAAAAATAAAAAGCTTAAAAGGAAAAGCTTGAGAATGAGATATCCATGAGAGGTTGGAAAAGCCCTGACGTATTTCCGGCCGTCTAGACGGCCACGTGCATGTGTGTGTGTATTCCTGGGCTTCTGCTCTGGGAAGGCCTGGGAGGGTGCCTAAGCTCTCACCTCTGGCTGACCTTGAGGGCATGGGGGTCGGGTGCAACTGTGAGGTAAAGGCCGAGGCGGAGTTGTGAACTGTGGCCTGAGTACTGATGGTGTGCACCAACACACAGGAGGAGCCCTTGGCAAAGACCAGAAGACTTCCTAGTTTCAGGCACATAAGGAACCTCTGTCCAGTCACTAGCTGACCAGTATGCTAACTGAGCAGAAACTTCGGTGCCCATATGCCATTCTACATTCAAAAAAATCAACTCATAGTGGATTAAAGACCTTTGCGCTGGAGCTATGACTGTAAAACTCATGGAAGCAAACAGGCATGAATCACTGTGACCGATCAGAGAGCCTCCCTACACTATGTGACATATTCTTTGAGCTTGTGCTGAGTATATGGTAGTCATAGAATATATGAAAGAGTTAGTGCCATTTTTCCATGCTATACCTGATAACCCACTTGCAGTTTTTTTCTTCCTGTTCTCTTGACCTTGAATGCTGCAGATTTAAAGTCTGAGTAACAGCTGTTTCACTGAACTGGAAGTTGGAACGCTGCAGTGCCATTTTGGGTTCCTGCCACTGCACACCCTGAAAAGGCCATGCTGGCTATGGTGAGTGACTTTCATTAGGGCTCAGTGTGGTCGCTGCTGCACAGTGAGGCAGAGAAATTTGTCTAGATCTCAGGGAACTCTTGGTGTGTCTCCTAATACTGCCATATCCAGGGTAAAGTTAGCAGAAGAACACAGAAATCCCATAGGGTCAGGAAGACCCCCGAAAGCCATACAGTCAGGAAAACGAAGGTTTAGATCTCTCTCTCTTTGTATTTCTCCTTTTTGTTTGGCAGACCCTTTTACTTTCTTTGCTGGATTCTTTTCATGTTCCTGAGGTGCATGTATCTGAGCAATGAATCATGTATTTAGACCTCTTGTTTTTCCACTGTAAACTGATTTCTGAATTATCTCTGAGGTTTTAGATGCCATCTATACTGATGACTCCAAATTTTGTATCTTCAGCAAGGCCATCTCTGGAGTCCAGATTATATATCAATATCAATATGATATATTATATCAATATCTCCAGTTGACCAGCTGATTTCTAAATATCCAATGGGATTCAAAGAACAAACTCAAAACCCTGCTCTTCATTTTATTCTGATGGGCTTCTTCATCATAGTCAATGGAAACCCCATTCTTCCAGTAGGCTGGACCCCAAATCTTGGAGTCATTGTTGACTTCCCTCTTTCTGTCACATACACACCTAAATCATCTTCCAAGCCCATCAGCAATGCTTCCAAAATACACCGAAACTCAGTCATTTCATTCCTCTTACTTGGGTTATTGAGTAGCCTTCTAGTCGTTGCTTGTGCTTCTATCCTTTATTAACCGCGTGTTTCTGTATTTTGGCAGCTGGGGTCTGGCTGACCCTGCAGAGATCGCCCCTCCCAGGGCCAGAGGCTGTACTGGGCCGTAAACACTGCTTTCATGAGCTGACCAACCAACCCAAGCCCAAACCCCCAGCCTCCTCCTCTATGGGCTCTTATGCTCCAGACATGATCTCCCTGCCCGGATCACCCGTGGGCCGCCTACTGGACAGCTAGAGAGCCCCTGAAAACCCTGCGGGCGTCATTCAGCCTAGCTGCCCACAGCCCGTGCACCCTGCGTGGCTTCGCCTTTCTCAGAGGCACCACACGGACACTCTCGCCCTGTTCCCCCCAGCTCCCTCCGCCTCCCGAGCAGCCCGGGCTGCCCCGTGGGCCCTCCGTGGCATGGCACGTCCCTTCCCCTTGGGAACCATCCTTTCAGTGGCTGTCGTCCCCTGATCTGTTGGCCTCATAATACAACACACATTTAAAACCCGTCCTTGACATCCATCCCTCTCCCACGGCTGATCTACAGTCAGCAGCCGGGTGAGCCTTGAATAATGTCAGGCCACGTCCTTTCTCCTTTAAATGTCTCCCAGCAGCTTCCCGTTTCTCCTGCCTCCCGCGAGACACGGCGGATGCTGCTCCTCCCGCCTGTCTGTCATCCCCCCGCCTCACTGTTCTTCCTGCTCTCCCTTAACCAGCCGAGCTGCCGGCCCCGCCTCTCTGCCTCGAGGGCTGTTCTCCTTATCCACACGCTTCCCTTCCTCATTTCTTTTGCTTGTTAGAGAGATGTTCTCTGTCCTCTATGTATAAAATAGACCTTGCATCTTCCTTTCTATCAGTTTAACTTCATTTTTCTGTTTCCTTTTCCTTTTTTTTTTCTTTTGGTATCATTAATATATAATCACATGAGCAACATTGTGGTTACTAGACTCCCCCCATCACCAAGTCCCCCCCAACATACTCCATTACAGTCACTGTCCTTCAGCATAGTAAGATGCTATAGAGTCACTACTTGTCCTCTCTGTATATACTGCCTTCCCTGTGCCCCCCACCACCCATGTTGTGTGTGCTAATTGTAATGCCCCTTTCCCCCCTTCTCCCTCCCTTCCCATCCACCCTCCCCAGTCCCTTTCCCTTTGGTAACTTGGTCCATTCTTGGTTTCTGTGATTCTGCTGCTGTTTTGTTCCTTCAGTGTTTGTTTTGTTCTTATGCTCCACAGATGAGTGACATCATGTGGTACTTGTCTTTCTCTGCTTGGCTTATTTCACTGAGCATAATACCCTCCAGCTCCATTCATGTTGTTGCAAATGGTAGGATTTATTTTCTTCTTATGGCTGAATAATATTCCATTGTGTATATGTACCATGTCTTCTTTATTTATTCATCCACTGATGGACACTTAGGTTGCTTCCATATCTTGGCTATTGTAAATAGTGCTGCGATAAACATAGGGGTGCATATGTCTTTTTCAAATTGGGCTCCTGCATTCTTAGGGTAAATTCCTGGGAGTGGAGTTCCTGGGTCGAATGGTATTTCTATTTTGAGTTTTTTGAGGAACCTCCATATTGTTTTCCACAATGGTTGAAGGAATTTACATTCCCACCAGCAGTGTAGGAGGGGTCCCCTTTCTCTGCATCCTCGCCAGCATTTACTATTCCTATTCTTTTCTATGTTGGCCATCCTAACTGGTGTGAGGTGATATCTCACTGTGGTTTTAATTTGCATTTCCCTGATGATTAGCGATGTGGAGCATCTTTTCACATCCCTGTTGGCCGTCTGAATTTCTTCTTTGGAGCAGTGTCTGTTCATATCTTCCACCTATTTTTTAATAGGGTTATTTGCTTTTTGGGTGTTGAGGCATGTGAGTTCTTTATATATTTTGGATGTTAACCCCTTGTTGGATATGTCATTTATGAATATATTCTCCCATACTGTAGGATGCCTTTTTGTTCTGCTCATGTTGTCCTTTGCTGTACAGAAGTTTTTCAGCATGATGTAGTCCCACTTGTTCATTTTGATTTTGTTTCCCTTGCCCGAGGAGATGCGTTCAGGAAAAAGTTGCTCATGTTTGTATTGAAGAGATTTTTGCCTATGTTTTCTTCTAAAAGTTTTATGGTTTCATGACTTACATTCAGGTCTTTGAATTTACTTTTGTGTATGAGGTTAGACAATAATCCAGTTTTATTCTCTTGCATGTAACTGTCCAGTTTTGCCAACACCAGTTGTTAGAGAGGCTGTCATTTCCCCATTGTATGTCCATGGATCCTTTATCATATGTTAATTGACCATGTATGCTTGGGTTTATATCTGGGCTCTCTAGTCTGTTCTGTTGGACTATGGGTCTGTTCTTGTGCCAGTACCAAATTGTCTTGATTACTGTGGCTTTGTAGTAGAGCTTGAAGTCGGGGAGCATAATCCCCCCAGCTTTATTCTTCCTTCTCAGGATTGCTTTGGCTATTCAGGGTCTTTTGTGGTTCCATATGAATTTTAGAACTATTTGCTCCAGTTCGTTGAAGACTGCTGTTGGTATTTTGATAGGAATTGCATTGAATCTATAGATTGCTTTAGGCAGGATGGCCATTTTGACAATATTAATTCTTCCTAGCCAGGAGCATGGGATGTGTTTCCATTTATTGGTATCTTCTTTAATTTCTCTCCTGAGTGTCTTGTAGTTTTCAGAGTATAGTTCTTTCACGTACTTGGTTAGGTTTATTCCTAGGTATTTTACTATTTTTGATGCAGTTGTGAATGGAATTGTTTTCTTGATTTCTCTTTCTGCTAGTTCATCGTCAGTGTATAGGAATGCCACAGATTCTGTGTATTAATTTTGTATCCTGCAACTTTGCTGAATTCAGATATTAGATATAACAGTTTGGGAGTGGTTTCTTTAGGGTCTTTATGTAAATATTATGTCATCTGGTTTCCTTTCTCTTCTTAGCACTGATAACAAGCATCAGACTATCTTCTTGATCATTGTTACCACCATTACTGTTATCACTATTGTTATATTGCTTACCTCTCCCCACTTGAGTGAAGGTTCCCAGATGTAGGGGCTTTGTTTCTTTCACTGCTATCTTCACAGGCTTATCACAGGCCCTGCTACAGGGTGGGCAGCCACAGAATACTCCCACGATAAAGCTGAGTGTTTGTTAGTCAAGTGCTAAAACTGTGGATACGTAGTTGTTACAAGGGTGCAAAAAAAGTTTTTCCTGAGTAAAATCCAAGATTGAAACACTGACCTATAAAAGCAACACTCTCTCTAGCTGGTATCTTTCATTCTATAAAAGTGGGCAATTTCTTTTCCAGAAATCTGCTTGATGGCCCCACCTGCTGCCCACGTTTTACCCTCTGCTCTCATGCTTGTAGATCTTCTGGCCCTGCCCCTGGCTTTAACCGTCCCCATGCCATCTAGATTATGTCAGCCACTCTGTGCATTTTTTCTGTTCACTGATTTTCTTGGCTTCATGTTTTTCCCCATCTTTTTATATCTTTTTATATCTTATCTTTTCTTTTTTTTTTTTTGTCTTTTTTTCTTTCTTTGCCTCTTTTGGTAAGAAATACTTCCCAGTATCCTAGAAACCTTGAATAATATCTTCTTTTCCTACCAGGTAAGAATTTTAAGGTGTCTCCCAGACATACCTCATCCAAGCTGAAAGTTAATGAAATGTGCTGGTTATAAAATTACTGTTTTTGAATATACTGAAGAGCATTGAATGCCTTTGACTAGATTTAGTGAGAACTAGTCTGCAAAGACATGATTTCTCTGAAGCTATGGTTCAGCTCTGTATATGAAGATATATTGTGGAAAACTTAGAATAACATGCTGGGCTCAAAACAAGGTCCTGCTGGGCTAAGGTGCATACACTATGAGTCTGGGGCATCTTGTGTTGCCAGAAAGTGATGAAGAGTTCTAAGAAAAAATGAGTGTTTGTCAAAGGAATTTCAGAGCCAACTGAATGAGCTCCTAATGGCCAAACATTGAGCAATTTGAGCAACAACATCAAATAGGATTAGATTATTACCCAAAGTATAAAACAAACATCCATGAGTCCATAGCCACATAAATGAATAACACAATAAGAAAAATAAAGGAGAGGAGACAATTCTGTTGTATAGAACAATCTTAAATTATCTGTGTAAATACTCTCCCCTTAAAGAGGTTGAGCATGACTCCCCCAGTCTTCAAGTGCAGGCTGTGTGTCCGAAGAGCACCATATGAAGGGCACCTGTGCTGTGCAGAACCCTGACACCCACCACGGGACAGGGGGACGGAGGCGCACGTGAGCAGTGAAGTCCAGCTGATAGTATGAAATGATGCAAAGGGCAGATCTCCCCTGTGGCCTCCCACCCCCAAGCCCAGCACCTCAGTCTGATTATGAGAGAGACATCAATGAACACCAACTGAGGGGACTTTCTATGGAATATCTAAGCAGCACTCCCCAAAACTGTCAAAGCCATCAAAAAGACAGGCTGGCAAAGTGCCAGAGATGCCCGACTGTGTGTGACCTGGATGAAACCCTGGAACAGAAAAAGGACATCAGGAAAAACATTAAACACTGATTTAATTAAATTCAATTAACATAATTAAACATTAAAGCATTAACGAACATATGGGATTTAGGTAATAATAATGCAGCATCTTTAGTTCATCGGCTGTGACAATGTGCTGTAGTGATGTAGGCTGTCAGCAGTACTTGAAACTGTGTGTGGAGCGAATGAGAACTTGCACAACCTTTGCAACTTTTCTGTAAATCTAAATCCATTTATATAAATCAAAATCTGCAAATCTATTACAAAAATTTTACTTAAGAAGTTGAGCTCAAGCAGGTGATAGATATTGAGTTCTCTGCCTTTAAGGCACTTTCTTTCTTTTTTTTCAAGTAGATCTGAAGGCTTCAGCCAGATGTAAATTCAGAATAAAAGTAGAGTCTATATGCGCCTATCACTTTGCTAAACCACATGGATATCTGTTGGTATTATTCTTGGATTTGTTTTAAAAACAGTGTGTCAGAACGGCCTCACGAGGAGAGTGGGTGACACCACTGTGTCCACACTCACAGGAGGGGAGCACCAGGGCAGGCGGCTCCACCTCGCCTCCAAGCCCATCGGGTCTCCCTTTGTTCCCTTGGCTGTGGACCCCTGCATGAGAAGATGTAGAAACGCACTGGATTTAGAAGACGATGAACCATCTGTATTATTTTCCTTAAGGAAATCCTCTCCCCTCTTTCACAGCATCACAGATCTGCATGTGCCCTGTTCCTCATCAGCTGAAATCTGAGGAAGAACGCCAATGTGTCTGCACCGACTGTCCGCGGTACCTGGGCCTGTGTCCAGCCCTAAGAGCCATGCTGCATATGTGTGACTCATGAGAGAAGCACCACTTTCCCCATGTTTGTTTATTATAAACTTCTAGTGATTTCTGGCATGCATCATGTGCGTGGAACCCATTAGCCTCACATGTATGCATTGCTTCTGTCAGAAGTTAGAGGGATTTGGCTAAGTAACTTCTGCTGGGTGGATGCATGTGTCCCCATGCAGGTTCAGTTTTCCAGGCCTGAACTTGGTGCTAAAGCTTGAGAAATCGCTCTGTGGTCAGAGATATGTTCAACTGAGCACTTAAACCACTGACTTATATAGGCTACAGACGTGTGAGTGGGAGGCGCCCACCAGCAGGTTTGCAGTCCTGCAGCAAACCCCTTCCTGCGGGACGATGCCTCCAGTTAGTCTCCAGCGGGAGCTGCCCCCCAGGGCTCTGCGTGGGCTCCCGGACCAGCGCTCAGTGTTAGAATGTTTGGTGCCCACGTTCCATTTCCTGAGCTTCCTGACAGGCTCCCTAACCCGTCTCCGCAGGTTGTGCCCTTGGAGACTGTGTCTCCCCGTGCAGGTAGGTATCTCCATGGGCAGCTGTCAGCTGCCCTCTCTGGTTTCTGCAATGGAGGGTGGTTCCGAAGCACTCAGCTTCTTTGCCTGCAGCGTCCCCACGGGGTCACGGCTCGGGAGAAACATCACTGTCCTGGGGTCTAGAACCAGTTCCTGTGACCTCCATCCAGAGGGTACGAGCCAGCTTTGTGTAACATGGAGAAGCACTGGTACCGGGCCGTTAGATGCTGAGGCCTGTCCCCTCACATCACCCTTTCGGAGGGGACAGAGTATCAGAGCGTATAACTGCCAAAATCTTTAGGTTAATAGAAGATACAATAATCAAGTAAGATTTATTGTTGATACAAACATACTTAGTGAAATGTACTTAATCCTCACAGTAACTATGTGAATAGGTGGGGAAAGGGATCTCGGCAAGGGAAGTAAGGTGCCTGCGGTGCCTCCCACACAGACTGTGGGGACGAGCCCCAGGTGTGTTTGGACTCCGCCTGGATTCCCTAGCTTTGCTTTGTACAAACAAGCAAGGAAGCAAATCACCAGAAACTAGGAGAAATACTCCTGGTGTATCAGCCACCTTACTTGTTCACAGATGTTCCTCTTTCCATATAATTGGCAGATCTCAGAGCTAATGAATAAAGTTCTTGATAGAAGGAAGGAGGGCTGAGAAAAGAAATCCTAAAGGAAAACTAGTTTCATATTTTGTAGTCATTTGCCTAACTTGTGAGATTAAGTGTTAGACTTGAAGGCAGTGCAGTCAGGAGTAAAATATAAATCCACGGAGAAAACTGATGCTGGGAAAAAAGAGTCAAGAAAAGACAGTCCAACGCTGTGAATCTAGGTGCAGGGTTCCCACGTGAATCAAGAGCCTTTTAGCTGAACACCCAGCTGTCGAGAGCATCACCTCAAAGACAGGCCGGTCACAAGAACCAGTCAGGCACCTGCTGTCGGGTGAAATCTAACAAAGATGACCAACGTTTCTGTTGCTGGAGAGTCTCAGACCGATGACAGAGAATAGATGTGAATTTTTGGTGACAAAATTGGTTGCAGCACATGCAGCAGAAGTTTCTCTTGAATTGCCTGTGAAGAGCTGCTTTGAAATGACTGTTTTCTGAGGGCCATTGAGGCTGAGATGGCTCTGAAAGGGCTCTTCTCCAAGGAAGTTGTAACCTGCCCCATTCACAGAGCATTTTAAGTGGCTTTTGCACATGGATCACAAACACAGTCCCCACGGCTAGAGCTCTCTTGGCACTAAGCCCATTGCAGAAAGTGTCTAATTTTTTTCTTTTGCTCATCTAGCGTTAGTTTACAATATGGTATGAGGTAGGGATCTAAATTAATTTTTCTCTTAAACTGTTGCCTGTTCATTAAATTACCATTTGTTGAATGATCAGTGCTTTCTCCTGATATGTGTCATCACCTCTCCTATACTCACAAACTTCTTACACGTGTAGGGCTGTTTCGGAGCTCTCTGCCATGACCCTGCCTGCATTCATTGGACTACATTCAAGGAAACAAAGTTTCATTTTTAAGGCACAGCTACATTTTTAGAGTGCATTTTAGTATCCAACAGGGAAAGGCATCCTTTTCATAAATTTGTCTATTCCTAATAATTTATTCTTTCTAGTAAATTCCAAGTCATTTGCCAGTATGAAAATAATATTTTTAACATTCATGATGTTCAAGGGCCCAAAGGCCAGAAAGGCACACAGAGGAAACCCTCCCTCCCACCGTGTTGCCGTCCCCCTGGTCCCCAGGCCGCCCGCCTCCCACAGACCAGGAGGCACTCGGATCCATTTCACGGGCACCCCTCCAGGCCTTCTCTATGCATGGAAAGCAGTTACAGACTTAATTTCCTTCTTTTTTAAACAAAACATGCTTCTTAACAATATACTTTCAACACTTAACAATACACCATGGGCATATCATTATTCTGGTATGTGGGCCGCGTCTTCACCCTGTTCTATAGCTCGTTTGTATTTTATGGATGTTCCCTAACTTATAAATCTAGTCCCTACTGATGGGCAGTTATATTTTGCCAATCTTTTGCCATTGCAAACAATACAAACATGAGTAAACTTGTACATCCCCAAATTAGCATGAGAACAACCATATCGGTAGCACAACTTACCGGGAAGAGCATTGTCGGGTCAGAAAGCACCAGCATTTATAGTTCCGATAGATCTCACCAAATCGCCTTATGCCTGGCCTCATGCAAACGTACGTTTTCCTCAGCAGTGTTCATGGGTACCTGTTTCTTCCTTGTGTTAACAACACTGTGTATTATTTAATTTTTAAGTTTTTGCTAATCTGATACTGAAAATGGCATCACTTAAAAATTTTTCTTATATGAATGGTGCTAAACATCTTTCCCTACATTTAAGGGGAAATTTCTTATTTGTTTGCATTTCTTTTCGACAATTATTTATTTTAGCCTATGGCCATTTTTCAATCTAGTTCTCTAATTTTTTTAATGGAGTTTTTTTCTAGGAGCTCTTTATAAATAAGGAAAAAGCAAAACACTTTGTGATATGTGTTGAAAATATTTTCCCCCAATTTGTTATGTGTCTTTTGAACTTGTTTTTTCCAGATTTCTAACAAATGTGGTTAAATTGTATCAACCTTTTTTTTTTAATGTTTGAGTCATAGAATGGCCCTTCTTGAAAGTTGTAAAGAACTGTATGACTTCTTGTTATACTTTTACTATTCATTTTAAAAGGTAGATTATTGATTCTTTTGGAATTATCCTGCTGCATGATTTGAGACATGAATTGACGTTTGACTGTTGTCCAGTCGTCCAGTGGGCTGTGAAATTGTTCCAGCACCTCTCTCGCTGAGCTGATACGCCGCCTTGATGACTGATTAGATTTCAGCTTACACTGGGTCTGGGCCTGGACTTTCCCCTTCAGTGGTTGGTCTAGTCATGTACATTTTTCATTGTTTTAACTACTGAGGTTTTACAATAATTTGAGCATCTGGTAATGCATCTCTCACCCATTGCTCTATTTTTCAGTGACTTTTCCGACTGTCTTCTTTTGTTTATTTTTCCTATACTTATTTTATTATCAATTGTCTAATTCCAAGGAAATCCTCCTTTTCAAAATAAGAACATAGCAAAGTTGTTAAAATGGCTTAGAGATGATAAGCAACAATGTTGGAATTTTCAAACACATACTGTGTATCTCTGCTTACTCAAGACTTCTCCTGTGTCCTCTGTAGTATTTAAAGTTTTTCTTCTTAAGGGTTTTACACATTCATAGTTAAGTTTCTTTCTTGGTAACTTATATTTTTGTGGCTATAAGAAATTGAGTCTATTCACATTAGATTCAAGCTGATTATATAAATGACATTGATCTCTGTATATTAATTTTATCTTGCTACCTTACCGAACTGTCTTATGGTCTACAAATACTGGCAGTTTTAGCTCTCATGCAATTCTTACAGCTTATTTTACTTCCAGTAAGACATCTGATAATAGCAATATCCTTTTTTTTTTTCACTTAATTAGAAAATCTTCCAGTGTTCTCCACTAAGGGTAAACAATTTGGGCCAACATGATATCTATTATCACATATATATTATTATGTTGAAAATAAATGATTTATAACTTTATTACTGAATTTTCAAAGCAACAGTTACAATATTGAATGCAATTACACTAACTTAAAATATTACTCTCAGGAAATTAAAAATCTTCTCACCCTGAAACAGAGCATATCTCCTCATTGGCCAAGAATTTTAAGATCTTTCAGTAGAATATTGTGGGTTTTTCATATAGGGGTCTCACTAAGGGTCCAGTTATCTTTTTGTCTTGATGTCCCGTGTTTATACTGAACTCTGACCAGTTTTTGACACTATTCTAAATTCTCTCCTTAACACGTTCTTCTCTCTTTGATCTCAGGGTGCCTCACTATTGATTTTCCTTCACCATCCAGGCTGCTAATTCACATCTGTTTATCCCTAGCTTCTTTATATTTGATCTCACCATTGTAGGAGGATCTTTTCCGCTTTTCCATTATCTTTCTCCTACGGGTTCCTGTCAGCAGGTGCTAAGAGAACTGTGGTCCTCCTGAAAACTTTTTCTTTTAGTTTTTTATCTTTTCTTTAGTTCTTCGGTTGTAGTCTTTACAACAAAAGAACAATCTTAAATAATGGTAAGAAAATACATTTTTCTTGCACCTTATTTTAAAGGGAATACATAGTGTTTTATAAGCAACTATAATGCTGAATGTTGGTCTCATGGTTATTCTATTTCTGTCTTGTTTAAAAATATAATTTATTTACTACTGGGTCAATTTCTAGACTTTCTGCTATTAAATATAATCACATCTCTTCTGGTGGCAGCATAATCACAAATTTTTTTTCTTATATGTCGTGTTAATTAGATTCGTTCTCTCAGAATAAATGTTGCTAAATAATTAATTAGCTGCAGAATGTAATTCAGCTATTCTGCAAATATCGGTGAGCCCTCACTTTACTGCAGCCGTAATGCTGAGTGCAGGGCTACCAGCTCTGTAAAGCCAGCTGGCTCCCGGAACCCCTCTGTCCCTCAGGTCGAAGTACCACTGGACCCGTGGCGCAACTTACAAAGGGGAGTTTCCAGTGCCATGAGGGACGACATAGGGGAATCTGAACTAGTCCGGGGTTTCTGAAGGTTCAGCAATACATTTCTGAGGAAGTGACAATTGAGTAAGAACCAAAAATTGGGTAGAAGTTAATGTGTAAAAAGATTGGAGTCAGGAAGAACCCAGTGCCTGCAGGTCCGGTGGCACAGGAGGCCAGGACACCCAGAATGAGGGAGGGGTGTGCCCACACGGTGCAGGGGGCGAGCCCTTGCGGGTCCGGGTGCCGCCGTATCTCTGGACGTGCGCTGGCCCCGCTGCCTCACTAGGCGTCACTAAGTGCGGACTTCGCCCTCTGGAAAATCAGTACCTTCATTCTGCCCCCGCCTCCTGGCTCACGTGCGTGAATTCTTCTCCCAAAATGCTCCCCAGGTGGTCATACACCATAGCATCGGTCAAGTTCTTTTTTTTTTTTTCTTACATATTTGACTAAATTCACCCAAGCATGTGGCACCATAAGATTACACATAAATTCCTATACAAATTTCCCCCGTGAAGTTAATAATCATTCTCATTTCTTTCCAGCTAGTATGTCTCCTAAATCTCCGCCAGTTGCTTACATCGCCCCACAATGCCCTTAAGCATGACAGCATTTCATTCATTTTGTCTTCTTGCGGGCATCTTTCTCAGAGCCTCCGAACCTGCAGCACCCGTTCCTCTCCTTCCCTTTGTCTGCATGGGTGTGTCTGCCCTGTTTTCTGGATCCCACTCGGCTGGAGAGAGAATTCTAGGCTGGAATGATTATCCCTCTAGAGTCTTGGAGGCTACACCACACTGAGTTGTAGTTGACATCCCGGTTCGTTAACCTTTGTAATGGTACTTGTTTTATTTTTCTTTTATAGCCCCTGAATTTTAAAACAGTGTGAAAATTTTAGTGTGAGTCTGCTTTTTCCCCATTGTGTTGAATATTCAGTGGGTCATTTCAAAATAAAAACTCATGATCCCACTTCTGGGAAATTTCTGTGATGATTCCCTTTCCTGACTTTTTCTTCCTAGAACTCTAATTCACATGTGGCAACTTCTGGATGGACCTTAAATTTTAAAAATCTTTTCACTATTTTTCTTCATTTTTCTATTTCTGTTCTGCTTTCCAGAATAGTGGATTAATTTTACCTTCTAATCATTCTACTAAGGTTTTTTTTTAAATTTCTGCTAATATGCTTAAGATTTCTAAAGTTCTTTTCCTTTGAAATAATTGTTTATCAGAGCATCGTATTCCTGTGTCATAGATGCAATACTTTAGGAATCCCACAAAGTCGGTTTTTCTGGTTTTTCCCTCTTTGTTGCCTGTTTGCTGGTTTGTTCTGGCCTCTGTTTCTTATGCTGCAGTGTTCCCTCAGACATTCTCCTTGCCTATTTTTCACACGTAAGAAGAGAAAAAAGCTGATGAGTATTTTGTATACATGGGTGGGCTTTGTAGACTCGGGGTTTCATGGTAGGCCTGGCTTTCTCAGCAGGGTGCGGGGAGAGAAGTAAGCACGACAGAAAATTCTGAGTGACTGTGTTCTCACTTTCCCGAGGGAGCTAGTTAGCCAGTACCATTGTAGGTTGAGAGAAGATAGTTTAATCTTTTGTGTATGATGGAAGCCCTAGGTTCATTCTCCCAAGGGTTCAGAAGGGTTGCTCTGGCCCCAGCGTATCTTTAGAATTTTCTCTTGGCCTGGTCAGACCCCGGAGAAAAGAATCTTTCAGTTGGTTGT